CACTTCCAGAGACAGTTGTAAGCACTGTGTAACTGCCTCGAGGGTGCTTGACCATTTTAACACAACGTGGTGCGATCATCCCCCTTGCGCGGAGCGAGTGTTCTCCACCCCGCACAACATGATCTACTCGACCACCATTATGGTACTCATTGTCGTGCATGCCGTAGACGTTGGACCATTGACCTCGCAACCCTCCAAAGCCGGGACGCATCGGGAAAGGAAAAAAATAAACACCTCACAGGAGCCGCGCACCTGAAGGCCAATCCACGATTTTTTCCGCACGACGTTCTCCTCAACCACGCAAGATATAGCCCCATGCTGGCCGCGGCTCGATGCGCTAGGACAGAGTAGGCATCCTCCGCAAGTCTCGGGAACGCCGGTGGTGAGAAAAGCGACGGCTACAAACAGCCATTCGGCCATCCCTGGCTGCAATTACGCTCCCCGCGGCAGACGCAACCGTTCATTTTCCGCATGGAGAACTCCCCAGCCTGCGCACCGACCTACACCAACAAATCAGGACCCTCGTACGACCGTGCACGTACTGAGAGCACAGGGCAGTTAACCTCGGATCGGCCTCAGGTAGGTTGTACACACCCGGCGCTATCTACAGCGCACCAGGAAAACCTTGCTTCAATGACAACCTAACGCGGGCGCCGATCAACCTCCGCCCGCAGTGTTGAGTAACACATCAAAATACACACATCCCCAGCAGCTTCGTCCAGTTTTTCTGCCCACATCAACGGAAAGCAGCGCAGATTCTGTGCAACGGCACCTCCAACACGAGCGACCACCCGAAAGAGCGGAGGTTGGCACACGGTGCTGCGGAGGGGTACATCTATCATGCACGACCTCCCGTACTAGCGCAAATTGGAGCTGTACAGCACATCCCGCTTCGTCTCCTCTCCAAGATCAACCGCGATGTGTGAAGTGGATGGGGGTTCGGTTCGTCAGCCAGGTTTCGCGTCCTCCCACCCTCTTGCAATCACATTCTTACGGGCGCTTGATGACTTTTATGACCTATTCAGCAATTCGACACTGGATTTTAGCAGTTGCTGCTGTTGCTGTTACAGCAGCATCCTCAGGCAGATACAGGAAAGGCGACCCACTGTGACACGATGACCAAAGCGTGATTCGGTCGCCCCGGGCAAGGCAAGGCGCCTTAGCAAGTACCGGAATCACACGTCTGGTTTCGGCGAAGAGAAGCAGGGAAAAAAAACAGTGCAAGGTCAAGTTCGTTGCTCAAGAGCTCAAGAGATACTTCGAGAAATAGAGAGCGGCCCAAACTCAGATGTCGGCAAAGATCATGTGAGAAGCTAGGCATGTGCCATATCTGGCGTGGCGGCCTAAAAAACCTGTTTCAACGACGACGTATCTCACATACCTTCCACACAAAACCAAGAAACATCACAAGAGGCTCCCCAGCTGCCACGTGACGCAGCCCAAGCGATGCGGCACCCCGCACCCACAACAGTGCGACACTCCCAACTGTCCTCGGGGCCCGGCACCTGGAGCATTGTATGATGATTTAACACTGCCTGCCACTAGCACATAGGTCACGGGTCGTACCCGATTCTAAGATGAATTCCAAAACGCCAATTCACTCACCGGTGTTGAAACCCTCCCCTTCAGCCCCATCGGCCTCTTCCTGTCGGGCACGTCGCTCGGCAAAGCATACGAGGCACGTCACCGCGAAAGTGAACCAGATGGCGGAAAAGAACTGCGCGAAAAACGTCAATGTACCATACGCCCGAGCGCGAGAAAAGGCGTTGTTAATAGACGCTCCTCACCAAGACTCGGGACGAAGGTACAGTATTGAGGACGAAGGTACAGTATTGACAACGTTGAGACACGTGGGAAATGCTGAATAGACGGAGAAGGAGGGAATTGGCGGTCAAAACAACGCCTGACAAACCAAGAAAAAGCCCTCAGTTGAGGGGTGCCGATGACGACTGTTGTGCCCTTCATACACTGCAACCAAATCCCTCTGCCAAAGAAGCTTGCCTTTGGAGGTCCTTGCTAATTAAGGGGTAGGCGGTGATCCTTTCGGGTCGAACTTCTCGAGATCTTACAGGAGGTAGCTGCAGAGAAGGGACCACCGGCGAGCGATGAAAGCTACAATTTGAAGAGGCAGCCCTTCCCCAACCCACCCAGTCTTCTGGTTTCATCGGCACGCTGGTTGATGTGTGCATTTGGTACCGGATCCGATTGAAAACGAGCGTTCAAGCTAAAAAACATTCAATCCCGACAGCGACGAGGAAGCCGCCGAACCCTTCCCGGAGCACAGACACCGCTTTCGTGCACCACCACCCTTCCGAAGCACCACTTCTCGACCTCCCAAAAGGAAATCTGGCGGTGTTCATGTACCTGCGGCAGGAAGACGATGAAAGCCGAGTAGTCCGCGCCAGCGACCAGGTAGACCGCCAGCACGCTCGTCACCAGGGTTCCCCCTAACAACTTGCGGGAGTGCTTGGCGTTGTCCATCAGGACGGATGCCTCCAGCAGCTTCCTACGTTGCTCCTGCACAAAAAGAAAATGCCGTGAATCCCCCGCCTGCGATTGGAAGCGCATGCTTCTTACGATCCTCCCGCTTGCTCAAACACGTAAATTTGCACGCCCCATCACCGCGGGTGGGGCGAGTGGGTCCTCCTTTGATGCTAAATATGATATTCTCCCAAGACACATGAACACAAGCGCATGATACCCACATGAGTTTACCGTTCTCGACGAATGTGTGCGTTAATTCGGAATGAGATGAGCTACCAGGTCGTTTCCGCCGGAGACAGCAGGCAGCGTCAGTGAAAGTTCTCGTAAGCGGTGTTGCCACCGAAACGCCTTCCAATTCGATTTGCAGTTTTTATGGAAAGCAAAATCCCCGAAGACTGCCGAATTAACAGCGTCTTGCTGGAGACAAGCACGCAGCTCGGGGTACACCACCCATGAGCCCGGGGCGGCTTCATATAGATGGGAAAACTGCATTACCAGAAAATCGATGCGGACAAAACGACGAATGCGGGCATGAGTGACGTTATTCGGAGCCCATATTGTCAACCTCAACGGAGCTAGGTATCACACCTCCGTTGAGCCTTCGTGATCTTCGAGGCCCCGCGCGAGGGACATCGCCAGGGCCTGGTTCGTACACCAGGTGAACAGCTGCCCGGCGTGGAGGAGCCAGGTAGGGACGAATACCACCCACCAGTTCCAGGCTACCTTCAAGTGTACGCAGCGGAATGCACAGAGAAAAACAGAGGCGTTAAGGGACGCGGTTGGAAACATCAGGGTACGCGAAACATGGAGACCTACTCAGCACTGGAAAGGCAGCCTAGGCAGCCTAAAAACGTTCCCTTCGCAACGAGAGCGCACAAAAAAGGCTGTCGTCGTAGACCATAGGTCGGGCAGGTTGAGTGGACGTAATTTTGTCCCAGCCCGCTGGTGGAAAACAAACGTGCACACTTGACATGGACGCGAGAGATGAATTAGCATCATCCTATTAAAGTGTCACTTGCAAGAGCACAACCAACACGAGACCAATATGCTTTGCAAAACATCAGCCTCAACATTCGTCAGTCAGCCTCGACAAACGTTCAGCTGGAACGCATTTGAACCTGCATCATGTATCAGAAGTCTGGCTGGCAACCGAAAACCCTCCTGCATAATCTTCACTGATCCGATCACATTCGCATACACATACACGCATTTGCGCGAAGGGAAACAAAATTCTGGTTGACTGTTGTTGCTGTTGTAGCAACACCGCTTTGATTTCCATCCGATCATGTGAACGTACAGCAGCCTGAGAAGGGACGACAGAGCAACAACACAGCAGCAGCAAAGCCCATATGGACGCCATCACACACCTCGCCGTCGAGTCTCCACATGAGGAACAACACTTGAAGGAACAGCATGGCCGCCTCGCCCATCGCCTGTGCTCCACAACAGCGGCGGTAGCGCCACGCGAGAGGGCAAAGCGAAAAACCCGCGCACAAGAATCGCATGCGTGCTCGCGGAACAATACGACTAGGCAGAAACGTCATCCAGCCCAGTCGAGCGCTATTGAACAACGCGGCGTTGGCGTTGTAGAAACGTGGGATGGCCGATGTCCGGGGGAGAAGGGGGGGGGGTTGCACATCGATAGGGTAGGCAATAGTATGGGAGAAGTACACAACAGTCCTTAGGGGGGGACTAGAACCACGGCTCGTTGGAGGTTGGGAGCCCTCATTGTCTCCCAACGTAGCGATTGTAGTACACCGCGGAGCGAGAAGAACGGCACTTTATCGCCATTCTACAGACCCAGGGCCACCAGGAGAGCGCTTCCTCAGGAGTGAGTAGGCGTGAAGACCAACTCGACAGACTCGTCGAGACGATGTACATTAACATGCTATATGCCGGGAGTGATCCGTGCCAAATGTTCTGGGAGCAGGTCAAGAAAAGGGGGTAGACTATGCTTAATCAGGGGTGGGCTGTTGTTCGAGGTTGTTTCGTCGGCGTTGCAATCGAAGAGTACGTGGACCAAGGAGAACAAACCGGAGCGCTTTCGTAGAGGCGATTACTTTCCATCATTGTTGCAGAACTGCAAGTCGTTCAAACGGCAACCGACATAATGTGTATCATCGACACACGTGTGTTGTCGTTTACTGTATTGCCAAAGTTGTCCACGACATCAAAACTGTGCGCCTTCCCAAACGTTTACGATACCAATGACGATACAAGGGATCTACGTTCTGGACGGTTCTCTGTCTGACGGCGTTGCACGTGCGAGCGTTATACATCGCTGCTTCTCTCGACGTGTTTTTCAGCTCGACGACTCCTTCTTCCTCACCTTGATCGCGGCGACGACTCTGCCCACAAACAGCCGCTTCGTCTGAAGCACAATCTGCTCCCATGAGAAACAACAAGACGGCCAGAGAAGCATTACCAGAGGGATGTGGCGTGGGGCTAGGTTTGAGTAGGAAATGGTGAAGCTCGATGACAAAGCATCACGTCGGAGATAGGTGCGTGGCCGTCCCTTGTCACCCCCGGAGCAATCGAGAATGGGCGATTCTGCGGGGTTTGATTCCTCACGCATCGCGGTATTCGGTGAACCTACCAGCTACTTCTGACAACGTGCGGCGTTGGCATGCTAAGCATGACCTACCAAACGCGACGCTAAACATGGAGGCAGGCCGCCCAATCCAGTGACTACCTTTTCGAATATGTCCGGCAGCAGTGGGATAACGGTCTTCAACTTTTCCACAGAGACTCACTTTGGCTTGTTTTAAAACGCCAGGCGGTTTGCACTTTTGAGGTTGAATTAGTATTTCCCACCTCGAAACCAGGTGATCTCTCTACCTTCTTATTCTATCCAACCACGGGTCCCGAAGTTTGCAGCGCTACCAAAGTTTAAGGTATTGCATTCACCACACGCACCCTATACAGCTCTCCAATAATCCGGAGCCAGACCCACGCCATGAGCGGCGCCAAGACTTCCTCCCAAGACCAGCTGATGTGGTGATCCAACCTAAGAACTAACAGTACCTGCGCTTGTCGTGTGGAGGGAGGGTTTGCCTTCAACATTGGCTCATTTACAGGGTTGGAATCAAGGGTTGAGTGCAGCTACGGTGAAAACTAACGTAAGGTTGTGCAGCTACGTATGCATCGGTGTGCACGCAACCCTAATGTGTGATATAGACGTGATGAGCAGTACAGAACGAGAAACGATGACCGCCTTGGTGCTTGCATGGGTTGGGGTCACGACTGCATAGAGCCAGAAAGCACTGTGGGAGTTTTGCGTCTTTCCATGGACGTGCAAGGTGCCCAACGTAGTTCGTTGATCGCCGACACGCGCGGAGGAGAGAGCAGCAGAGTCAACGCCAGAGCAAAGGACACCCAGTAAAGACACCAAGGCAGCGGAAAGGAACGTGCTAGATGTGAAGGGCAAGTCCATCTATGCGCGTGCCAAGTGCCGTGTTTCGTCAGGATCGCCGTATCAAGGCAGGCAGGGGGAACCCAAACCTTTGCACGTACATTGACCCAACAGTAGAACAGTAGTCGGACAGCCTTGATTCCGAAGACAATAGGCTGGAAACAGCACACATTATTCGCCGCGTCACGCCACGCCTCGCTGTTGCAAGAAATCTGTCAGTGAATGTTGCGCCTACTTCAAACAAGCACACAACACTACAGAATATTAGCCTCTGGCCAGAGAAAATCACGCAAAGCCTCCAGTAGGGGGCGCCTAAGAACGCCGAAGGAATCACGACAGAGACATCTAGCTCGGGTGATAGCCGCGGCGCCGAACGCGGTGGACGTGGTCAAGGTTACACACCTGAAACAAAACGAGCAACCCCCACTTCACGAGCGCAAGTACCCTCATCGACATCGGGTAAGGGTCTCGCCACTCGCCCTGCCACTCGGCCGGGGCCTTGATAGGTCCCCAGCTCACTAGAAATACGAAGAACATCAACCCTGTAGTAGCGGTGGAGCAAAAAAACGATCAACCCTGTAGAAGTGGTGAAGCAAAAAAACGATTGAAGAGTGCGCACATGGGCAGCACCAACAATGGCTAGCACAAGTGCCAAGCTCGCGATAACCGGCAAGGGAAGCACGACATTGAAAGCGCCAAAACAATTGAACCTACAAAACAAAAAAAATGTAACACGATCAAAAGCTGAAAGTCGTTTATCTCTACCAACATGTGCCCTAGAAGCAGGCGGCGTAAACCATACCCATTTAACAGCAGGCGATGGAACTAACTTTGTGATAAGACCAATGGTGCTGTTGATTCCTCGTCTTTGCTACGTGCACAAGGTAACAATTCCGAAACTTGGAGTGACATTAACTTCCTCTACAGCAACATCAACCGCCATGGTGGGGGAATATCTTGAAGGTGTCTAGGAATAAACCCCTCAAGAGAACGAACCAGGAAACGGCATCGTGGTTGGAAGTCACGCACGAAATGCCAACCTGACGTTTCTGAGGGAATCTCGCGTCCAAACAATTTTCTTGTATACTTCTAAGACAACAAAGCTCTCGTCCTGCACTGGCGTATCTTACCGATGCTATCGGCAATCCACAGAGGGGTCCACACGGCCGCCCAGGACATGGAAGTAGTCCCGTCTACCCTCAGGGAGAACAAGATGGGCCACAGCAGCCACGCGCTGACCAGAAGAATGACTGTGAGCACCACCAACGCGATGTCTCGCTTGCGTCTCTTTAGGAAGCCGTTCAGCAGAGACTGTTTGGTCCCAACGTATGCAGCCACAGCCACAGCAGCAGCAGCAGCAACGGCAGCAACGGCAGCATATTTGCCGCTGGAGACTCGACGTAACTTGTACACGCATGCACACACAGAAGTCTTACCTACCAAAATACATCATACGTGTTTCCCCAAGCGTAGGGATAAGGCACCTAAGTGAGGCTTGCCGGTGGGTGGCAGCCGCAGTCGTGTGATGCTGGCTGTTGTTGAGGACCGGTCGAGGGCGTCGATGGTCGGGAAGGAGACCAAGGATTCTTTGAGCAACAACGCGCGCTTCCAAGGGACGGGTACATCCTCTTATTTATATATTTATTTTTTCGCCTTCACTTCAAATCAGCGCTCACAGCACAAGTGCCGATTACTCCAACCCGTGGTCACACAGAAGAGCCCCTATCTACCTTCCGCTCCTGCGGTACTTCGCCTTCGATTTTTAATGCGAGAAGAGTTCAGCACTCTCTTCCCTTTGTGTACACACGAACTAGCGCTATCCACCAGGCCAGGAGCGGAAGCGAGAGAAAAACTCACGTTGCAAGAAAAGTACGCTTACGCCGGGATTCGCACCCCTGACCTGGCCTCTAGAAGGTTTCGGGGATACCAACTAGACCACCGGGGCGACCGGCTTATGGGAGCAGTCAAAAAGAAAAGACAACATGATACGTCTGGTTCATGTATTACTCGCTGGGAGGCATCCTAAGGGGTAATCGAATCGATTGTGAGTGCTTTCACCTGAGTACCGCCAAGCAGAATGGGAACGAAGTCATCGTAGCAAGCGATGGCCGTCTGCTGAGGTCCCTGTTGAGGGAGAAACAGAGAGAGGAGCCCCACAGGAGTGTAAATTAATGTGACCTTTACGAGCAAGAAAAGTGTACCAACCAAGTCTATTCACTTCAAAGATGGTTCAGGGGACTTGGAGGAGAGGAAGGTTTTGATGCAATCCTGGATCGGAGCTATGTTCTGTGACAAGAGAATAATACTACTGTTTTGGTCGATGTGTTGTATTCAGGGCACGCAGAAGAGCTCGGCACTCGCTGCATAATATTTCCACAATGTGAACCAAACACGATGAACAGGCTCTTCAAGGAGGACGTTACGAAAAGCTTCGGTGACGCCGCGCTGGGTTTTGGAAGCCAGCTATGTACCACATAGCCGACTTTCCAGACACGGGAGTCGCCACCCCTGAGGTACAATTCGATCACCCAGAAAGCATACCATGTGCAACGTTTTCCAGAAAACAGAGTGATTCAACTGCTGTCCCTAACAACACACGTGCATGTTGCTTGTATCACTGCCCTCTCGCTCCAGCGATCAGCGTCTCTCACCGAATGGCTCTTGCTCCTTGGGAAAACAAGTCATTTGGATCGCTGAATGTAAAACAGAAAAGTCGAAAAGCAACTGAACAGCAAGCAGTTGCAAACGAAAGACTACAAGCAAATGCTGACCACCACGTCGAACCAGGCCATAAAAAACTCATACTACTAGATCGGGAGGTGGAATAGTTTTTTGTGGTGGTTGCACAAAAGTACCTGCAGTAGGCTCGTGCGTCTGTTACAGAAGAACGGGGGGCGAGAGGGGGGTGGCATCCATCATCATTCGCTAGAGGGGGGGGTG